TGCGCGGACTTGAAATCTAGTCCAATCCTCATAGTCGGATTTGAAATATTACATCTCTTAGTCAACTCAAGTGTGCGACACCCGACCAGTTAGATAAAGTCAAATTTGTGAATTCTAATAAATTATTGTAGATGTAATGATAGTAAGTGTAATTGTAATTGTCATGCAGTCTACTATTTACAATTCGTATTGCAACTGATTCCAATTTTTGAAATTTTTTAATCTACACCCCTCTTGGAAGCCAGCATTTGCTGTAGGGCTTAGCGTAGTCAAATAAAGTTTTTACTTACTTACTACTTACTACTTACTTACTTTTGCAGCATGTTTTACTCGTTGGGATTTTATTCGACATCTTGGCCGTTTATAACATCGTACCCAGGATCTTTCTTTGGGAAAGACCCTGGCAGCGGCTGGTGGCACGCGGCTCCCACATTTTGGGTGCTAAATTAAAATTAAACCATGGGTAGGGTTGGAGAGGAGCGTGTTTGTCGCGTTGTTCAAATTGCAATTTTGGGTGATGAAATTTAAATTTGCAACAAGAAATCGTAAAGAAAACTCTTAAATTAATATTTATATCGTGATGTGACTTTCTACTCTATAATCTTGTGTCAAGTTACAATTCAAGCAAGTTGGATCAGATTTCAATTTTGAACTTTATGTAGATTTGCCAAAGAAAAGCACGCGTTGCATGGTGGCGTGGCAATAAGCCTACATGAAAATATATATCTCAGAATCCGACCAATGTAGATGTTATTTATTTTTAATAGTATAAAAGTCTATCCTGATACTCGGACCAAAATACAAAATTATTTATTTATTGATTAGATGTGGTATAAATTAAAATCATACATCAAAGATAAGTCAAACGACAACATATGATAATTATATGTCTTTCAATGAGCACTGTTTAGTAGTGTATACTACATTTATAAATTTTATAAACAGCTTTCGTTTTGACACAGGCTTTAATTTTTTGCTTTTTATTCTTAATTTGTGAATGGACAGCTTGCATCGTCTCTGTCATATCCAGGATTTCTTGCGTGTAAGAGCCTTGTTTTACTTAATAATAGCAAATGAACCAGAGATAAAAACAGATGATTCACAATGAAAACTTTAAAAATGTGAGTAGAAGTAGAAAAGTGTATTCGCGTATGACAATCTGTGAGCATATATTATGAAAATATTATAGTAATTGAGACCAAGAAAAAAGCTAAAAATTAAAAAGTCTTTCCCAAAGAAAGATCCTGGGTACGCGAGGTTGGGCCGTTTGTTCGACTTTTTGCTTCCGGGAAAGTGCTTATTATCAGCCTGTTCTACGAACTAGCCGGCGTGTATTGCCTCGCCGTTGTTTCCCTGTCTAGAGCTGGTCAGCAAATTACTACACATAAACTTCTATTTATTTTGAATAGGGGAAAACTTTGCATTTCAAAAGCCTGCAAAGCAATCACAAACAGTGTACCATGGAAAGGCTTCAAGAGCTGTAGATGGGAAAAAAAATCGTGAATACCGCAGTCGATCATGTACCCACACATATCAAGAAACAAGACCTTGGCTGAGGATAGATTTACAGCAACGTATTGCAGTCGCTCATGTAAAAATCGTAAATAGAGCCCTAACTGGCATGCGACTTTGTGGGTTTGAGATAAGAGTTGGAGATAGTTTGGAAAATAATGGAACTATGAACCCAAGATGTGGAACTCAACAACATATCCCTTCTGATCAGGTAAAACACCTAAATTTACCAGGTCTTATCATTGATTGGGTTCCATTTGCCCAACTTTCAGTTTGAGGCTGGCACGAAAGTTTGCAGTTTAACCCTATGGTTTAATGCAGAAATTTTTTCTGAACTTCAACATTTTATACAAGCAATACAAACAAAATAGACACTTGTTTCCTTTGGTAAGCTAGAAGACTTATTCGTTCAGAAAAACGTAAGTCGCTAGATGTAAAATACACACGATAATAGTTAAAACTGTTTTTCATAGGAGGGTATAGTCTCGTGCAACCCAACAGTGGTTGGTCGTTATGTGACAGTTGTTATTCCAGGAGAAAAGAAAACACTAACGTTGTGCGAAATTGAAGTTTATGGTACTAGTGTTTTAGGTATGTCTGTTGAGGAATTTCTTTTTTATGCCAATCAGCCAATCGGTTGATCGGTCGTTCAGGCAGATTGGCGCCGCCAGTGGGGATGGGGGCGATGGCGGGAGCGGAGTGTAGTTTTAGATTTGTTCAATTCCAATGAAGTGAACGCATATTGGTTTTGCACTGTTAAAAAGTGATTTATTAAAAGACCTTTACTTTTCCCTCTAAAAGCCTCCACAATACAGGAAATGCATAATTCCACCTAAAATTCAGACCGCCTGGATTGCGATATCACAAATTATTAAG